GCCAGGGGCTCGGGGCCTGCTGTCCTCAGGGCGCCTGCCTACCACCTTCGCCTCCTGGCGGCCGCTCCAGCCTGGTTTCCACTCCCAGGACCCACTGCAACGGCTCGGCACCAGCGCACATAAATTTAAAGCCCCCACTCATATCCCAGGGAGGGAGGGAGGCGGAAAAAGCCCACGACAGGTGAGTTATGTGCAGGGTTAGAAAGCGATGAACGCCGTGGGGGGAACACGCAGATCAGCGCCAGAGGTTGGGGCCCTGGTGAAGGTGGTGAGCAGAGGGGCCTCTGACAAGTCAGCCTGAGCAGTGGAAGGAGAGGGCGCGAGTCACCGAGGCTCAGGGAAGAGCCGGCGCGAGGTCCTGAACTGGGAACTTCTCTGACATGTTTCAGATGGAGGCGGCCGCCCGGCTGGTGTGGCTCAGTTGGTTGAGCGCCATCCCATGCACTAAGGGGTCCCCTGTTCGATTCCGGTCAGGGCACAGGCCCAGGTTGCTGCTTGCCCCAGTGGGCCGCATGCAGGAGGCGGCTGGTCAATGTGTCTGTCCCATGGATGTTTCTCTCTCCCTTCCTCTCTAAAATCAATGAAAACATTTAAAAAAGAAAACGGAAGTGGCCATTGTGACCAGACAAGTGCAGGAGGAGCAATGGGCTCTTGCAAGGACTTTGACTTTTAGGCTCAGAACGAAGTCAGCGCACAGAGACACCACCTCACACCCCTCAGCAGGGTTATCATCAAGTCAAACTAGTGCTGGCGAGAATGTGGAGAAACGGGGCCCTCGGGCATTGTTGCTGGGATTGCAACGGCGTGCAACCGCTTCGGAAAACAGCGTTTTTTCCAGTTATCTGTTGGTGCATAACCACCCCAGAGCATCCTGGCTTAAAACAACTATTTCCTCATGGCTCTGAAACCCAGATTGGGCTCAGCTGGTTGGTTCTGCTGTTGGCTGGTGTGGTCAGTTGTCTCAAATTGTCACCAATCAATTCCTTCTCTCCTTGTAAGTGTGTGATGCTCCACCAATCGCTCTTGTGACTTTTTGGATGTATTTCACGTGGTAGAAAGTTCTGGGACTTCGGAGCCCAGGACTGAGGACTGGCAGCTTCACCTTCCTCCATCTTGGTGACCAGCGGCCAGGTAATCAGTCTCAGTATCTGGAGACCATCATGCCGTGCAAAACCCCACACTAGCCATGTAGAGAGGCCTAGTGGGAGATACCTGACCAGTATGTCACCTTACCATACTTGGGCTATCCCGGCCACTCCAGTGGAGGCATCAGACATGGATGTGAAAAAGACGTCTTCCGTGTTCCGTTCTCAGCAGATACCACCCAGAGCAGAACCTCCAGCTGAGTGCGGCCTAGTTGTCACAATAAGTAATAAACTGGGGTGGATTGTTCTGCAGCAGTAGCCAGCTGACCCAGGCAGGGCCACTCAGCCACAGACCCTGGGTGTGATCGAGGCAGGAAGTCTGAGCCACCGTCACGTGTCCAGGCAATCTCTCTTTCAGAGATTTCTCCAATCAGGTAACCAGAAATTTTTACATGGCAGCTAGGAAACCCAAGAACGAAATCAGCAGCTAATGGGCCTCCTGAGACCCTGCAACTGATATGGCATCTCTCGTCATAGCACTGCCAGTCAAAGCAAGTCACAGGGCCAGCCCAGATTCCATGCGAGGGGATGGTACCCACTTTTTTTTTTTTTTTT